TTATGTTTGTATTTATTTACTGTATTCATATTATAGTCAAAGAAGGTCTTGGCAATGAGTAAGATTCGAGGTGATATCCTTTGTCCCGCAAAATTAAAAATACAAAAGAATACAATAATCAAATCCACCGACTACATATTGCAGCACCTATTTTGTCAGACGGTGAAATTGATGAGGAATTGACTATCACAGATTCGAATTATCAAGTGAGCGACAACGAAAACGAAAATAATGTTGAAAAGGATGCAACTGCAAGGTCTAGTAATTAGACAAATCAAAATTTTGATGAAGGCTTAGTTACAGAAGAAGTGCAAAGTTGGGAAAATCTAATTAATGAATGGATCAAGTTTGGAAATCGTAAAAACCAATTTGAAGATCGGGACGATGAAATTTTGATGACAAGTGATTGGGATACAGAATTCGGTTTAGGGGATGAGAAAAACATCCTGCTGATGACGAAGAAGCCAAATGGTCTTTAGATTCGCTTTTTATTTCTTCTTTAGAAACACCTTTGTATTTCGGTTCAGAATTCACTTCCAATGAATAAGACATTTATTATTAGTATAAAAAAAAATTGGGTAAAAAAGACGGACATAGAACGTTCAATAATAGAAACACTGAATTGGAATTGAAAAGATGAACGTTAGATCTTCATTAATGTGCAAAACTTTGGAAATGTTAATGGGGTAAGAGTTGAAAAAGATAAATGTAATGAATTTATCGATCAACTGTCACGAAAAACGCTGATGAAATAATTTGAATTAACAAAGATAAATATGAGGCATTTATTAATTTGCTGAAATGGGACCGCTAGTGAAATTAGAATCAAAGAATATAAAGCATTAGTAATTTGTTAGGGTGGGAAATGTTAGTGGAATTGGTGTTAAAAAGATGAGCACAAAGGTTTATAAAAATATAGATTTTATTCGATATAACGAGTTTTAATAAAATTTTAAAGCTTGAAATTTGAATCCTCGTGAAAAAAAATTATATAAAATAACTTCATAATTGCAAATTTAAAAATGTCTATAATGGACCCAAATTAAAATATGAAATAAATAAATTTTCTAGAGATTCTCATATTTGTAGCTATTATATACCTATTATCTCGTGCATGATCTTGTTTTCTAATTTGAATCTTGAGTATATTCAAGGCTGATTTTACAATTCAATGTATTTCTTAGTGGACTAGGAATAGAATGGTAAAGCTATTTTTGAAATATGTAATACCATAAAATCAGCTTTGAATACGGCTTACCCTAAAAGTCTTGATATGTACAATGCGCAGATTCTTACATGAATTTAACAAAGCATTGAATTTATACATTTTAAAGTACTTTTTGATAATGTAACGTTTCACTAATAAAAAATCGCTACAAAGCTATTTCTAACTTTAAACAAACGTTAATATTCGCTGGGCAAGATAATCTTAAAATAATCTTCTTCCCGACGAACTTTGCTTAGAAGACAAAATATACCTGCCGTTTATTAGACGATCTCAGCTTATACTGAAATAAAGATAAGTGGGAACGTTTTTGCTCAAGGCTGCTTTATTATGTTAGATTTTTTAAAAAAACTTTTATTACTAACTATTAAATTTGAATAAGAATAGGCTTACTGTAAAAGAAGCTTCGGGTTTAATACTGTAATACTTGAATATGTTTGGTTCTTGTGTATGTCAACCGTAATAAGTTTTAGTTCATAGATTGTAGATTGTATTAATGAGTTTAGGTTTATTAATAATGAATACCGCCTTTATATATATTTATATATTCTCTGTATATTGAAATAAATTAATTCTTTTGTATATTTGTTTAATTTATAACTTCTTCATATGAAGTTTCTAGTATTATTAAAGCGATGAATTTTTTTAAAATTATGTAATTTGATTGGCTAATTGTCACAGGTAATTACGGGTAGATCTGTAAAAATTAGCCAATCAGACGATCTTCCTTCTATGACCAAGGTCATAAATCATATTATATATTTTATGACCTTATGACCTATGACTGGTCATAAAGGTCATAGTGGTTATAAGAGGTCATGTGCCATCACTAGATAAAAGCAGTTTTTTGTTATTTACGAAAAATTTTACTTAGTAAATCGATTTACTTTATTAAATAAAAATTGTTTAGAAGAAGCTGGTAATATATTGTATGAATAGAGCTTATATACCAGAAAAACTAAGATTAATTGAGAGTATTACAGACCGCAAGCCAAACTAGATCTATATCCCTAGCGTCTTATAATCTAAAATATAAGGGCATTAGAATACCATAGTTACTAGATGGTATCCAATCCGTCAGTTTAGGAAGAAAAGTAATACGAAAAACTACTATTTAGGAATTACAAGGTAACTTGTAATGCAACACAGTGAACTCGCATCAACATACAGAAGTACTTACCCAATGTAATAATGGGAATTAGTAAGCATACTAACTAAATTAGGCGTTATTAATAGAGGCTTAATCTGGCTCAGCACAAAACCTACTGATAGGACTTATCTAAGCAGGCTAGCTGAGGTTTATCAAGATTAGAAGTAGCCTAATTAGGCTACAAGGCCTTCCTATAAAGAGGATTACCAAATTTGAAAGCTTGGGTATAAGTGGTATAAGTGATACAAAGAATGTTGTTATAGAAAAGTGTACTGAAATAGGACTTGTGAAGAGTGATAAAATAACAGGTGAGTAGGTCGATGATGACATACTACTTTGGTAAGTTTGGATCGCAGATAATTGAATCAATGATCAGTAGCAGATGAGAACACCTATCACGCAAGTAATAGTTTTAGCCAGAGTGTAAGTTACTAATAGGATTTGGGTCTGAGCTTGGTGTACTTGATATATGTAATACAAAAATATAGCAATATATATAAAAGTATTATTAATAACTAAAGTTATAAGCAAGATCCCACCTTAACACCAAAAAAAAAAAGAAATTGTTTAGAAGATCAAAATATATATATCCTGAAAATTTCATATAAATTAGAAAACATTTTATTAATTAACTTTTAGTTTTTATTATGTGGAGGACCATTTATTTGACGGTTAGACTATAGAATCCTGTGCAGCTGTGAGAACCGAGCTTAAAACGGCGAGCAACTCTGCAGAAGAAACACCATTGAAGTCATCTCCAACATCTTTAGAGCCCTGTAACTTCAATTTCTCTTATAACACATTTCTCTCCTTTTATAATCTACCACTCTTACCCTATAATCAAACACTTAGAACATTCTTAAACTATTT